AAAAAGGATCATCTTTTTTGACAGAAATCAGATTATTATTATTTTTTAAATAAGCAAATCATGTATGCCTTCTGTTTTTTTGCTGATCGGGTCTAATCCTTGCCTAATCTGCTGGGTTTTCTCCGCCTTTGTTTCTGCCTCCAGCTACCCCTTCCCGAAAGTCTTCAGCTCCTGCAGCCGGAGGCAGCTGGAGAGCTACTTCCAGAAGGGAGGGGGCATGTGCCTTTTCAACATGCCCGACACCAAGGACCTCGTGGTGGGCAAGAAGTGCGGCAACGGGTTCTTGGAGGATGGGGAGGAGTGTGACTGCGGGGAGACGGAGGTATGTTTTCTGGGGAGGGACGGGTTGCGGGATTTTGGAAATTGAAGGCTGTGTGTGTGGCCTGGTAGGGATGAAAGAAAGGTTGAAAACATCCATGAAGTTCAAGCCTTTCAGCCTCACCTCTGGGGAACCCTGACTCGTGAGGGTGGAAGGGGGTACGGTTCCATGTTCAGCTCATCTTACTGCCCTCCTCTTGCAAATTTGGCCTGATCCTTCCTGTTTTATCCCCAAGAACATATAATCATGGGCACAAGTTACAGGGAGACAGATTCCAGCTGAATAAGTGGTGCTTCGCATAGCGAGGTTAATCCGTTCCGGATTAACGGTCGCTATGGCGAAATATCGCTGTACGAAACGGGGAAAGCCATTGGAACGCATTAAACTTAGTTTAATGCGTTCCAATAGGCTCCAAAACTCACCGTTCAGCGAAGTTGTTCATAGCCGGGAGCCATTTTCGCGCCCTCGGTATGTCAGGGGAGGGCGCGAAAACACTGCGCGCGGCCTTTTCGGGGCTTCCGGCGGCCATTTTGGAGCTGCCGAACAGCTGAGCCGCGGCATCGCTTTGCGAAGATCGGTAAGCGAAATGCTTACTGATCTTCACAAAGCGATTTTTGCCCATAGGGGCCATCGGTATGCGATCACATTTGCGATCGCAAAAACCTAATCGCTGTGCGATTTCGTCATTATACAGTGTCCTCGTTAAGCGAGGCACCACTGTATCAGGAAAAATGTCTTAACTGTTCGAACAGTATAACAACGGAATTACCTTGGAACCCATGACCTCAGAAGGTGGTGAGTCTTCCAACCCTGGAGGTGTTCAAGAGAAAGGGGGACCACCGTCTGTCATATCTGCTGTGATTTGAATTCCTGCCTTGATTGGACAAGATTACTCAAGAAAATCTTATCTGAGCGGGGTTGGACTAGATGGGCTTGAGAGGCCCCCCTTCCAACTCCCTGCTTCTAGGACTCTGTGACTGAGAGTCAGGACCCAGAGTCTTTTCTGGTCCTGCTGAACTCTCGTTATGTGAAGGAGATTTGGGCATTGGATGAGACTGAATATTGATTGATCTAAATTTATTGATTTATTTAAAGGCTTTTGTAGCCTGGCCTCTTTCACAAGATCTCGAGACAGTTTATGGAGCTGTATAAAACAATTAAAAACACAAGACGTTTAAAATCATGTAAAACCAAACAACAGAATTAACACATCCAAGCATCAGGACATTAAAACTGTTGCACTAAAACCTGTGCAGGCCACGATCCTCAAATACCAATGGCTCTCCCCTGCATCTTCCTCCTTTCCTCTTTCCCACCTCTCTCTGTTTGGTCCAATGAAGCAGAGAATGGGTCACAGACCACAATGGAAGAGAGAAATCAAGGGTCTGGAAGCTGAGGCCTGTGAGGAAAGACGGAAAGTACTGGGCAGGTTTAGCCCTGAGAAAATAGGACCGCCGGGAGATTGGATATAGCTTTTTTCAAAGACTTGAAAGGCTGTCACACAGAGGAGGGGCAGGATCTGTTCTCGATCATCCCAGAGTGCAGGATAGGGAACAAGGGGTTCAAGCTACAGGAAGCCAGATGTAGGCTGAATATCAGGAAAAACTTCTTAACTGTTAGAACAGTATGATAACGTAACCAAAGACCTTGGAAGGTGGTGAGTTCTCCAGCACTGGAGGCATCCGAGAGAAACTTCAGACGGCCCTCGGCCAGATCTGCTTTGATTCAAATTCCTGCCTGCCCTCAGTCAGATCTGCTTTGATTCAAACTCCTGCCTTGAGCAGGGGGTTGGGCTCGATGGCCTTAGAGGCCCCTTCCAACTCCGTGATTCTATGAAATAGCCCAAGAAGTCCAACTGAAGAGATTTGATGGGGCAACTTTGCTGCTTGACCAGCTCTGCTGCCAGGGGCCGTAGGGGTGGTTGCAGATGAGTAACAGAGTCCGGTTTACCTCTCCCAAAATAGCCCAAGAAGCCCAACTGCTGCCAGGGGCCGTAGGAGTGGTTGCGGATGAGTAACAGAGTCCGGTTTACCTCTCCCCATGGTCTTTTTCAGGAATGTACGAACCCCTGCTGCAACCCGCAGAATTGCACCCTGAAAGCTGGCGCGGAGTGCGCGCACGGGGGCTGCTGCAAGAATTGCAAGGTAATCCCACCTCGTTTGGGTTAGTTGTGTCAGCCGAGATGGGCACGAAACGAATCACCACGAACCAGAAAACCCAACAAGCGTGGGCTGGCCCATGGTTTGTTTTGCAACCCTGTTTATGGATCCCATTTTTCTGAAGAATGATGAAACACCAAACTTTTCAGTTTCTGAGTGGCAGTGCAAAAAGTGAACCCTTAATTCTGCACAAAGAAGGGACGATTATATTAAACAGTTACGTTAAAAATAAATGCTAAACCCTCTCATCTGCCCAATCCTAAAGTTTTGGAATTGCAGAATTTAGTGTTTGGTTGAGAAGTAGCTCCCGCTGAATTTTTGATAAGCAGAGCCTTGCGGTTCTGTCCTGCTTTTATTCTTTGCCCTAATTGATTACTGTAGTTTGGGAAGCTTGTTTTGACTCATCTTTTGATGTACAGTGATGCATCGCAAGACGGGACGAAAAACCCGCACGACGATTGTTTTTGCGATTGCTATGGTGCCTCGCAAGACAGCTTCTTCTATGGCCATGCTTCGCAAGACGCCCCCCCCCCCGAGACCGATGCCTCACAAGACGAAAAAAATTCATTTGTCTTGAGAGGTTCCCATAGGAATGCAATGCAATGCAATGCATTCCTATGGGAAACTGCTTTTCGCAAGACTATTTTTTTTGCAAGACAGTGCTTCTCACAGAACAAATTAAATTCATCTTGTGAGGCACCAGTCTGCAGGTTGTTCATCATTTTATAGAAGTTGGAATATGCTGTGGCATTGTTGTAATGTTACATTGATATTGTATTTTGCTGCTTCGGTAAGGTGAAGCAGAACTTCATTAAACCGAAATTTGCAGCCAGCCTGATATAACGAAGCAAAGAGTAGCTGTGCTTGTCCTTCGTAAATCTCTCTCCCCACAACAACAACAAGTCTGCTGGTTGTTCATCATTCTATAGAAGTTGGAATATGCTGTGGCATTGTTGTAATGTTACATTGATATTGTATTTTGCTGCTTCGGTAAGGTGAAGCAGAACTTCATTAAACCGAAATTTGCAGCCAGCCTGATATAACGAAGCAAAGAGTAGCTGTGCTTGTCCTTCGTAAATCTCTCTCCCCACAACAACAACAACAACAAAATAAAATAAAATAAAACAAAAATCTATTGAATACCTTCCATAGGCCCAGCCCATATGCCCTGAAAAGGTGCAGGCTCTTCATCAACCTAAGTCAAGTGAGTTCTCCCTCATGCATTCTTGATGGAACAGATCAGATCTGCAGTTAATGGAAGGATCTGTTCATCTCTCTGCGTCCAGGAGAGGGACATGTGGCCAGCCGGAGGGAGCCCAGCCTCTGCCCGAGAGAGAGAGATTTGGTTTTCTTTGGCTCCGCGGCCAAGCTAGAGGCGGCATCCATTAGGAGGTGGAATCTTTCTGGGGAGCCCTGCGTCTTGTGACCCCCTCTATGGTGTCCACTGCTGTCATGCTGTGTAAGCTGGTTGCTGCTTCTTCAAGCAAGCTCCTGGGATATGCAGCGAACAGGGCTTCTGGTCCCCTCCGCGGGATTCCCCAGTCCTCGTTTCTGTAACCTTAGACGTTGCACCGAACAGCTGCTCTGGCAGATCCGGAATGGTTTAAAATGGCTCCATGGGGCGGCTGCAGGATTAGACGTTGGGGCTCCCAGACTTCTTGGGTTACGAACCCGGTTAATTCCCCGCTCCGTGAGTTCCGCTTGACTTACACATGCCTTACAGACACCTAGGAGAAAAGGCTTAAGCTGGACAGTTTTGAGGGTTCGCTAGGCCTAGCTTCCTGCTCAGAACCAAAGCTTCCCAGCTAACACTGAGGCAGGAAGCTGGGTTGGAGCGAGGCCTAGCTAAGACTCAAAGCGAGGCCTCTCCTCCCAGGCGAGCCACACTCAGGGGTCTGTAAGGTACATGTAAGTCAAGTAGAAATCCCAAATGAGGAATTTGGGGTTTTGCAGTGCAGGAAATCCAAAAATGTGGGTGGAGTGGCTGACTTTCTCTGCAGCTAGGATCCTTCCAACAAGCGGTTCCAGGAATAGAGTGACCGTCTTTGTTTTCTTGGCCGACACAAGAATGCCTCTGTCTGATCTTCTTCTTCTTCTTCCGGCCCCTGTAGCTCAAGACAGCTGGGACCATGTGCCGAGAAGCAGCTGGCTCTTGTGACCTCCCAGAATACTGCACGGGGGCTTCTCCGTACTGCCCCACCAACGTATACTTGCTGGATGGCTCCACGTGTTCCAACGGGGAAGCGTACTGCAAGGACGGCATGTGCATGACCCACCACCAGCAGTGTGTCCAGCTGTGGGGCCCAGGTGAGCACCTCCTTCCTGGCCCACCGCTTATGCTCAAACATAAGAGCAGACGCTTGAGATTGCATTGGTGTGACCTTTTGGGGGTTGGTTTGGCTGGAACTCCTACTGGCCCAACCCGGCTTAGCAAATGGGAGGAGATGCCAGCCGTTGTGGTCCAGAAGCGCTTCGAACCCAGCCTTGGGTCCCGGCATATTCTTGAACTAAAGCTCCCGGAAATCTTCACACACACACACCCCCAGCTATGCTGGCCAGGATTTCTGGGATGCTTCAAACCCAGCTTTGGGTCCCAGGATATTCCTGAACTAAAGCTCCCGGAAATCTTCACGCCCCAGCTGTGCTGGCCAGGATTTCTGGGAACTGTAGTCCGAGAACATCTGGGTGACCCAAGGTTGGGAAACAACTGATTTAGAGGTTCACGTGTGGCCCTCCGTCCTTGGATTAGCTCAGAGGTCTGTTAAGCTGGCCCAGAACAGAGAGTAACCTCTGTAGGGTGGCAAGGAAGGTCGAAAAGGGTGCCAGTCATTTTTCTTGTGTCATCAATTCTGAACCGCTGATCATTGGAAGCTGTCCTTTTTGACCACCTTAAGCGAATCTCCTCTGATTTCAGAAGCTAAGTAGGGCTGGGCTTGGATGGGTGACCCCTCCAGGAATAGCAAAGATCTCCAGGTAGGGCTAGAAAAGAAATCCTGCCTAAAACTCTGGAGAGCCATGGTTAACAGTCAGACCTGGCAATATGGATCTGGATCAGGGGTTCCCAACCTGGGGTGTGCAGTGTGATCTCCATAGCTTTGCCATGGATGGAAGACCCCATCGGCCCTACTAGGCGGTCAGGCTGTTGGCTCATCTCGTTCGGGATGGTGCACAAGGTCCATCTGTGGCTCTCCTGGACCTGCGGGGGGGGGAGGGTTAACTTTGGGCCTTCTGAGTAGGAAGCCCGTCCCTTCCCGCTGTGGCCATTCCCCCTCCCACACCACTTAGCCCTGAAGTGCTTAGGGGAGCAGAAGGAGGAGTGGAAGTGGCAGGGAGTTGACCACCGGCTAGAAAGTGGGACTAGGGGAAGGAAGCAGAAGGTGCCACGGTGGATGGGCTGTGTAAATAAACCAAGGAGCCAAGAGCAGGTCCGCATCTGCACAAGTTAGCTAGAAATCACTAGCAAGCCTCTAAGGATAGATTTCCAACCATAAATAGGTTTTCCTCTCTCCACATGCTTAAAAAATCCCGTTTTTAGTTTTGGGATAAGTGCCACCTTCTGGATAACATGGGTTACTACAGTTCAGGGTAGCATGATCTTGATCCCCAATATGGTGTAGTCGTGGATGATGGATGGAATAACTAGGACTTTGGAGAGCAGGATTCGAATCTCTGTTCAGCCATAGTAACTCATGGGGGAGTGGAACTGGTAAAACCTCTCCCTGAATACCTCACTTGCTTTAAAAACCCTATTAGGGTTTCTATAATTCCATGGCACAGAACACGTATGGGTTGAAAAAGCACCCCCCCACCCCCCGGAGCTAGCTCTGTGTGTTTCTAGGGAGGCCGAAGTGTTTAAACCAATATCGTAAAGTCCTCAGTCTCCATTTGGCGTAAATGCACGTCATGGTTCCCATTCAAAAGCATCTCTGAGTGTTGCAAAAGGGCCACGAAAAGACTCAGCCTCCTGAAGCATTTTCCTTTTAATCTTCTGGGACTTTTTCGTTTTTTGGGGTGGGTGGGTGTGTGGAGGATAACAGAGAGAAAAGCCATGCCAGAGCCGATCAAGATGATCGACAGCACGGAAAAAGGAAATGGACAGAAAGTTTCCCTGCTGTTGTAGCATCAGAGTGGGTAAAAAAACTTTGGAAACATTTTTAATTCTAAGTAATGTTTAGTTGTTTTGTGGGGCATTTTTAAACTCGTCGTTATGGCATGGTTTTCATGGTTGGGAGCTGCCTCTGGGTCTCCTATGGGGAGAAAAGCAGCATATCAATAAAATAAAACAATCACAGTGTCAGCCAGATAGATGATAGATTTAGGAGAGACAGACAAATGAAATGTGACATTAAATTTCCTGCAACAGGGTGCGGAGAGGGGCCAATGGCTTTTATGGCTTGAGAAGGAAGGAAGAGAAGGGGAGGGAGGCTTCCCCCGTTGCATGGGATCCCCCTGCAAGCCAGGGGTGGGCAGCATTTGAAAAGTTCTGCTCTTGGGCCATCAGCTGCTCTGAGGCATCATCCAACCTAAAGAGCTTTGCCCACTTCCAGAGCTGGCTGTCCAGTTTCTGCTCTGCTCGGCTCTGCTCTGTGTTGCAAACGCTGCAGGATCCCCACAAGAGACAGCCAAGCCAGGGTCACAGAGGGGAGGGCACTTATGCCAAACCTGTTGTCATTTCCCCAACAGAGGTGCTTCATCTTGTAAGGTAAAGGTAAAGGTTCCCCTTGACATTTAGTCCAGTCGTGTCCGACTAGGGGGCAGTGGTCATCCCCGTTTCCAAGCCGTAGAGCCAGCGTTTTTCCGAAGACAATCTTCCGTGGTCACGTGGCCAGTGCGACTAGACACGGAACGCTCTTACCTTCCCACCAAGGTGGACCCTATTTACCTATTTACATGCTTTCGAACGGCTCGGTTGGCAGGAGCTGGGACAAGTGATGGGAGCTCCCTCCGTCGTGTGGATTCGATCTTATGATGGCGGGTCTTCCACAGAGGCTTCTGCGGCTTAACCCGCAGCGCCACCCCTGTCCCCCTTCGTCTTGTACCAAATGCTTATGTATGTGAGAAAGGTTAGGACGTTGAAGGATGGGGTGTGTCATTCCAACTCTCTGAGCCCTGGCCCACCTGAAACATCCTGTCCCCCTTCGTCTTGTACCAAATGCTTATGTATGTGAGAAAGGTTAGGACGTTGAAGGATGGGGTGTGTCATTCCAACTCTCTGAGCCCTGGCCCACCTGAAACATCAAGGATCCAGCCTCTTGTCTCTAAAACCCCAACTCGAGTGCTTGGAAGGTAGTCCTACAGAGGAGGGGCAGGTTCTGCTCTCGATCATCCCCAAGTGCGGGATATATAATAATGGCCTCAAGCTACAGGAAGCCAAATTTAGGCTGAATACATATCAGGAAAAACTCAACTGTTAGAGCATGACAATGGAATCAAAGAGCTTGAGAGGCGGTGAGCGCTCCAACGCTGGAGGCATCCAGAGAAAGTGGGGGCAAACTTCTGTCCGATCTTCCGTGGTTTGGACTCCTGCCTTGAGCAGAGGATGGACTTGTTGGCCTTCGAGGTCCCCTTCCAACTTCATTTTTCTATGATTCTATGATTCTAACTCTGTTTCTTGGTCACCGGAGAGTGTGAGCGAATGTAGCAGAAGTGTGGGGGTGAAACCAGTGGAGAAAGTGGGAGGAAGGGAACGGTTCCCCGTCAAATGATTTCCTCTACTTCGAGTTCTCTTCTTTCCCTAAATCTCCTTGGCTGTCCTTCACCCCGCAGGTGCCTCGCCGGCTCCCGACGCTTGCTTCCAGGACGTCAACCGGGCCGGCGACATGTACGGGAACTGTGGCAAGGACAAACATGGCAACTACGTCCGGTGTGCCTGGAGGTGAGCGAGCGCTGTTGTGCGAATCCGTTGGACGGAGAGCGCTTCTGTTCTGGAGCCGGCCTCCGTCATTGAGATGGACGGGTTCGGTTTGGCTGGAGAGACACCGCTCCCATCACAACCAGTCCAGATGGCCAGCAAATACTGTATTTTTTCATGTATAAAACTACACTTTTTCCTAAAATAGAGGAAACATTGAGGGTTGTTTTATACACAGTAGTATATAATTTTGTGAAGAAAGTGGAGGGGGAAAGCAGGAATCAAAGCGCTTGGATCCCTGCCTTCCCCCTCCACTTTCTTGCAAAGAAAGAAATTTTGGGTTAGAAAAGTGGGGGGCGTCTTATGCATGGGGGCATCTTATACACGGAAAAATATGATAAGCCTGTGTTCACCTGATGACCAAAAGTAACAAATCTCTACATACAAACAAAAAACAGCCGGAACAGATTAATCAGTTTACATTGCATTCCTATGGGAGGAGGGGCCAAAATGGAACTGGAGACCTCTGTGACCTGGAGAAATCGAAATCTCATAACTCCAGTTGCATCTGTTTTTCGAAAGCCCCCGTCTAGAGCATGTTGTTCTCTGCTTCCAAATTATGGGGACCCCAGTGAGGGTTTTGAGGTGTGTGAAGCGTTCAGGGCGTTAAGTAGCTGCTCAGAGTCTCACCGACTGTCAGATTTTCGACAGCCAAAGAAGAGCCCTCTTCAAATGGACTTATTTGGCCAATGAGGCTGTTGTTTTTTTTAAGGTCAAACTATCCATTAGAAATGGCACATCCTTGGAATGTGCCCCGTGCATTTGATGGCACACCTCCCTTGTTTTGCTAACGAACTTGCTTCATCTTGTGATTCGTTCGCTGGCAGGCCAATGCCAGCATTGTTTGCAAGTATCCTCCCTGGAGACCTGAAAGCCTGCTGGAATGATGTCTCTGGAGTGGAAACATGACCTCAGCTTTTGAATGAAGGGCTGTCTGTAGCAGATCAATTGACCCTTCCCGCAGATTGGCTTTCTTGCTTGAGTCACTTGACCCCCCAGCTCCGTCTGCCCCTCATTAAAGTCTGTCTGTTCATAGTCCAGGGAGGTCCAGCTTGTGCATATGAGCCAGGAGGTACAGTGGTGCCTCGCATAGCGAGTTTAATCCGTTCCGGATTAACCTTTGCCATAGCGAAACATCGCTGAACGGGACAGGGAAAGCCATTGGAACGCATTAAACATTGTTTAATGTGTTCCAAAAGGCTCCTTTACTCACCGTTCAGTGAAGTTTCCTATGGCCAGCAGCCATTTTCGCGCCCTCGTTAAGTGAGGGGAGGGCGCGAAAACGCTGCGCGCGGCCATTTTGGGGCTTCCGGCGGCCATTTTGTCCGCCGAACAGCTGATAGTCACCTCCTGCCACAGTGGATAAATCAGCAGAAGGGTTAAATCACGGGCCTCGTGATGCAGGGGTTCGACTGCAGTTCTGCAGCCAAGATTCTGCTCACAGCCTGAGTTTAATCCTGACAGGCTCAGTCAGGTGGGTTCAGGGTCGACTCAGCCTTCTGTCCCTTTGAGGTTGGTCAAGCGAGTACCCAGCTTGCAGGTGGGGGGGGGAATTTATAGCCTGCATAATTCAAAACGGCAAACCACCCAGAGAGTGCTTTAAATGTTACGGAGTGGTATATAAACAGCCCACTTCGCTTTGTACACCATCCAAAGGTGACGGGCGGGGCAGGCTGGATGACGGGCAGCTTTTTGCTCAATAGATTAGGAGAGAAATTCCAGATTTACACCATCAGCAGTGGAATCTGAAGCCGACACCTCCGACAAGAGATTGAAGCGAGCAGGGATTGAATTTTTTTTAAAGTAGTTTAGTAAAAGTGCCTTACACACATCCCCTTTAGAGGTATAAAGCATCCCGCCTCTTGAGCAGGATGTTGGATGCGGTGACAGTCGAGTGCCCTGCCAGCACAGATTTTTCTCTGTCCTTCTAGAGACGCCAAGTGTGGGAAGATCCAGTGCCAAAGTTCAGCGGCGAGACCCAAAGGGACCAACACCATCCCCATGGACACCACGATCCGGTTCAATGGGAGGGAGCCCTTAGAGGTATAAAGCATCCCGCCTCTTGAGCAGGATGTTGGATGCGGTGACAGTCGAGTGCCCTGCCAGCACAGATTTTTCTCTGTCCTTCTAGAGACGCCAAGTGTGGGAAGATCCAGTGCCAAAGTTCAGCGGCGAGACCCAAAGGGACCAACACCATCCCCATGGACACCACGATCCGGTTCAATGGGAGGGAGATCAAGTGTCGAGGGATGCTGGTTTACGCAACCCAGGACGACGAAGGAGACATGTCTGACCCGGGGCTGGTGATGACGGGGACCAAGTGTGGAGATGGAATGGTGAGAATATCTATGGTGGAGGGAAAGGGTTAAAGCCACTGAATCAACCAGAACAAACTCGGTCTTACCTGTTTATAGAAGGTAACCAAGGTCAAGCCTGCTTAGTATGTTGATGGGAGACGGTCAGAACCTGACATTGTGGCTAGCCAGCCAGGAGGATCCGAGGAGGAGGAGGAGTAACCACTCCAACTCACAATTATATACAGGACCATCTGAGTAGACCAGGTCTATTCAGGTAGAGCTGGAAATGGAGTCTCCCCAAAACCCTGGAGAGTCAATGCTGCCAGTCAGAGTTGACGAAACTAAGCCTGATGGGCCAAGAAAGACTGCTTTCCTGTATTTCTACACATGTCAGGTCGATTTTCTGGAGTGCACATTTTGTAATGCAACAGGGCAGGAGATGTGTGGGGCCTGTTCATAGGTATCAGGCACCATGTGGATCAGCAAAGCGCTCTGTATCAGTCGGGAGCAGAAATTGCAAGCCAACCCAGCTGGGTGATCCACCAAGTAAGCCCTAATCCTCTTGGCTTCAGAGGTCAGGTGATACCAGGAGAGCCGTTCACGAGTGGCTGGCCGACTCGCCTGTAGCCTCTGGACAACAAATCTATCCTTTTGCCTTGATCCCCGGACATCGCAGAGCTCCTGAGCGAGCACCGACGCCTTGTGTAGGATCGTATACCTTGGTTGACAGAAAGCCATGAGGTTTTAGCCCTCGTTGTTGCAAACTCAACAACCTGTGCAGTAGGCAACTAATGAAATCTCAAGCATTGTGTAGTCATGAACAAGACTTTGAAGGATGGAGAGAGCAGGGCAAAATCTACATACCAAAGCTACATCCATGCCTTGGTAACCTCTGTTGCAACAAAGGCGGTATATAAATAATATGAATGAATGAATGAATGAATGAATGAATGAATGAATGAATTCAATGAATGAATGAATTCAATGAATGAATGAATGAATTCAATGAATGAATAACTGTGTGCCTCTGAAGAGGATCGGGAAGCCTCAGCTACTGCTAAGTGCTTGTTCTTGGCTCCAGAGACACGGACCGTCAAGCGTATTTGCAGAAACATGGAGGCAAATATTTGTTGGCCATTTCTAGGAGAAGACGGATCAGATAATTTTATATCCATGTCAGGTTTTTGTGTGGGGGTGTGTGTCAAAGTGTGTGCTATCCAGTGGGGGGGGGACTGCATAACTGGTATTTATCCTCATATTGAAATATACATCAATCCTCTCAAAACATAAATATATTTTATCTGGAAACACGCCACTTCCCAAGTTTTTAAAAATGCATTTTGACATAGTATTTTTTTCTGTGCCAAGAGCATTCAAAGTGTGAAATTTAAAAGATGATTTGGCTTGAGTTCACACCTGAGTCTGGGAGGTGCATGTGGGGTCCGTTCGTATTGGCCTTAACAAAGACTTGGGTTTTCCAAGGATCGTTAATCATGTTGAGCCCCCTCTGATGGGAAGGTGATTCTAATTCCAGGTATGCAAGGACCAACGGTGTACGAACGCCTCGTTTTTTGAACTCGACAAGTGTCTCTCCAAGTGCCATGGCCACGGGGTGAGTGCTCAACTAACATCTTTGTTTTTTTCTGAAGTTATTATACCTGAATATACCACTGAGAAGGCTGTTTTAAAAGTCGTAAGTGTTCAGTTCTACAATAACAGAGCATTCCTGGAAAGGAGAGAGATTTACCTGTGGAAATCCCATCAAGCGACCTCAAACACAACTCAACGGAAGGCCGTCCCCAGCAATCCAATATGGATCTAGATGTTTGCATATCACCAGTGTTCTCTTTACACATTCTTGGGGAGCAAAGGGGAACTCAAGAGACTCGGGCCAACAGGTCCTGTCTCTGAATGAGCACATTTTCTGCGCGGGCTAGAGCGGTCTGTGATGCTTGCAGAAAAAGGCTCTCCTGAGTGGCTGACTCATTCAAAAAGAAGGTGGTGGGAGGAAACCTTTTGGTTCTTCCTAGCAAGTGCTCAGGGACGTGGTGGCATGGCGGGTTAAACCGCAGAAGCCTCTGGGCTGCAAGGTCAGAAGACCAGACGTCGTAAGATCGAATCCATGCGACGGAGTGAGCTCCTGTCACTTGTCCCAGCTCCTGCCAACCTAACCATTTGAAAGCATGTAAAAATGCCAGTAGATAAATAGGTACCACCTCGGTGGGAAGGTCACGGCATTCTGTGTCTAGTCACACTGGCCACGTGATCACGGAAACTGTCTTCGGACAAACGCTGGCTCTATGGCTTGGAGACGGGGGTGAGCACCACCACCTAAAATTGGACACGACTAAATGTCAAGGGGAACCTTTACCTTTACCTTAGCAAGTCCTCAATACTGTGTTACCTGAGAAGGGTCTTAAACTAGTTGTGTGAAGGGTATTTAGGATCCTAGCCTGATCCGTCCTGCAAGGACAGGAGAAAACCCAAGGATAATCTGAGCCATAAGCTCACCGTCTTATTCAATTTGGCACCCGCTCACGGGCTTCGGCATTCTAATATACGCAAAATCCAAGCGACACATAAAATTAAAGTACAGTCTATAAAAATCTGTTCAGGGAACATTTGCTAAAATAGACAAAGACAACCAGTGAATTAAGAATGGAATGTTAACTACACCGTACTATAATTGCCCGAGCTTTTCGCTAAGGGCAGGGTTTGCTTCTCTCTTTCCCCTGCTTCTGTTCTCTAGGCCATAATCTTACTCTGAATTCATGCTTCCCTAAAGGAAATTTGGAAATCTTGGCCACAAGTTGCCATGATGAGTAAGGCGTCAGTTGCATTTTGTGGGTGCATGGCCAGGAACGCAACGGGCATCACCCATTATGGGCAGCAATTTGCCGCCGAGATGTATACACTTCCTCTTTCTGCATGTGTGAAATGGCCATCAGATTCTTCCTATGAAGTTTTTACAATCTACTATGCGGACGTAAATTATAGAAGCATGGAGTTGGAAGGGGTCTCGAAGATTGCCTGGTCCAACCCTCTGCTCAAGGCAGGAATCCCTGCCTGGTCCAATGCTCTGCTCAAGGCAGGAATCCAAATCAAGGCAGAACTGACAGATGATTCTCCAATTTATTTATTTATTTTTATTTATAATTTATTTTAGATTTATACCCCGCCCATCCAGACCAAAGTCTACTCTGGGTGGCTAACAATTAAAAAATGGAATAAAAACAATATAATAAAGTAAAAAAAAAAAAATAGAAATGTAGTTCAAGATGGGGAAAAGAAAAAAAAATTCATTTGATGACAGGAGGGAAAGCCTGCCTAAAGAGCCAGGTCTTAAGTTTGCTCTTAAAAACATGCCTTTACTTCTCCCTCAGTTTCCCCTTCAATGGCTACCGTTCCTATTTTGGGTTTGGTACACAGTTCTCATCCGCACAATTATGCTTCTGCCTGTCTGCCTCCTTTCCTATTTGTCTATTGGCTTGCCTCCCATATGCAAGAATTAAGGTGTAGCTGCAGATTCAAGCTATAACGGCAGAGATGTCACCACAACGCACTTCAATGCACCATAGGGTAGTCCACTTGATGGGTGACGGGGTCTTTTCCAGTCTCTGATGCTCACCTCCCTCCTTTCCTTAACATTTTATTTTCTCAGAGAAGAAAACATAGAGCCACTCGGCCTGTGAGGTGGGCCGACCAACTCTGATCAGAGCCATAGCGATGCTTTGCAGGATAGCACCTTCTGTGTGTCTAGAGAACGCCAATCGCCAGTTCTGGAATAAACTCCATGCTTGCTGCCTTTCAAATGTACAGTTCACATATAAAATGACAGAAAGGTCTTTGAGTCTGAAATGACAGGTGAATTCGGAGGCTGCTGCACGTAGACCAGAAAGAGACATTTTTTTCAGGTGGAGAACGCATTCCAGACAATCGTCATTCTACACTCAGGTCCTCGGTGTTGACTATGAAGGGGAGAAAGATTATTTAAGCCTCACTTACAGCAAGATATTTTTTGCTGATCCAGGAAGTCATTGGGGTTAATCATTGAGGTCTTCCTGATGGATGGCTCTTAGTGCTACTGGTCAAAAGGCATTGTGCGTTCATTCGCTCCTTCCCTCTTATGTAATTATTTTTTTTCCACCAATAAGGATAAAAAGATACCGGGCAGTATCCTGTTCTGCAAGCAGAAAGGTCTGCCCGTGTACTAATCTGAGATCATACCACTTCGGCCAGCAATTATAACTGCACTGGCTCCTGTTCCAGAAGGTTTTTAATTGAAATAGTATCAACTGTGGGTCCTGATGGCAATTTTTTAGAATATTGTATTTTTAATTCTATTTAATTGTTTTATCTTTTTATCTTTTATTGTATTCAAATTGTTGTAAGCCACCCAGAGACCTTTGGGTAGTGTGGGCGGCGTATCAGTTGAATGAATGAATGAATGAATGAATGAATGAATGAATGGTTAGAAGTGGAGAAGAGCAACAAACCCAATGGAAAACGGTGGGAATGAGGCAGAGCACATTGCAAGATTTAAAAAAAGAGTCGTTTGCAAGGACTTCCTGTACAGATGTAGTTTCCCAGGAGGCAGTTGTGCTCATGTGCCATCAGAGGGCAAAAAAGGTGTGCATCCGATCGCACCAGAAGGAGTCACTTTAAGACGAGCCGTCTCCCTTAAAGGGACCCTTCCATTCATTGGAGAATTGCTCCAGCCCAGCACCCGAATGTCATGGTCCAAAAAAGGTCCAGACCGGAGGGTGGTTAGGGCCAGGGTGCGGTTCTTTTCCCCTGGGTTGTGTGATGCCCGGAAGTAGCCCAAAGTAGACCATGCCAGAAGGCTGGTCCAAAATGTGAGCTACAGACCTGTGATATCACCACCTTTGCCCGTTTCAGCTTCTTGACCCAACGAAAGGCAAAAAAGGGAAAGAAGAAGAAGCTAAAGCAAACGGTATAAACTATTGTGGCACCTTCAAGAGCACACAGATTTGTTTCCGGGTGAGTTTTTTCATGGGTCTCAATCCATAGACTCCTCGCATCTGAGGAGGTGGTCTCTGATCCATGAAAACTCACTTTGAATCAAATTTGTTAATCTAGTTCCCAACCTTGGCTCCCCAGGTGTTCTTGGACTACAATTCCCAGAAGCCTTCCCTCCTTGCTGTGCCAGCCAGGATTTCTGGGATTTGCAGCCCAAGAACATCTGGGGACCACTTCCAGGATGTGCCAGTTTTTAAGGGCCTTAAAGTTCCCTACATGTGTGGGGCAGTAGCGTCTGTCCATGAATTAAAACAGAAAAACCTATGTATGTGCCCAAACTACAAATCCCAGAATTCTCCAGGGTGGAGCTCCGGCTATTGACGTGGAATCAAAGAGCTATACCTGGATGATAGGGCTGTTGCTTCTGCTTCAAGGGTTTATTATTCAATATCAGTAAACCATGTTTTTCCGGAGCCAGCGCTCAGGCTGACCCCGAGCGGTTCTCTGCTTCTCTTCTAGGTGTGCAACAGCAATCGGAACTGCCACTGTGATGCCAGGTGGGCCCCTCCGTACTGTGAGAAACCCGGTCTGGGTGGCAGCGTGGACAGCGGACCTGTGCAGTATGACAGTGAGTGGGAAGCTTTGACATAATCTATGAAGGAAGCAAAAGGCAGTGGCCTGCTCCAGACCCAAGAACCTGGAAAAGATCCACCCCACCCCACCTTCCATCACTGTCTTGGGAAGGAATTATGGCGCCTTCCAGTTTGATGCAGCTTTTCCTTGAAAAAAGAACGATGAAATGTTAAAACACAGACTTGTAGACTAATGGAATTGGAAGGGGCCTATAAGGCCAGACTGCAGGACATGTGATAATGGGCTCAAGCTACAGGAAGCCAGACTGAGGCTGAGTATCAGGAAAAACTTTCTAACTGTTAGAGTAGTATGACAATGGAAGCCATGACCTTTGGAGGTGGTGAGTGCTCCAAAGCTGGAGAGAAAATAGGATTCCTGCTCAAGGCAGGAATCCAAATCAAAGCAGATCGGACAGAGGGTTGTCCAATTTTCTCTTGAATGCCTCCGGCGTTGGAACACTCACCGCCTCCCAAAGTCATTGGTTCCATTGTCGTACTGCTCTAACAGTTAAGACATTTTTCCTGATACTCAGCCTTAATCTGGCTTCCTGTCACTTGAGCCCATGGTTGTGAGTCCTGCACTCTGGGATGATTGAGAACAGATCCTGCCCATCCTCTGTGTGACAGCCTTTCAAGTCTTTGAAAAGTGCTCTCCTGTCTCCCCTCCGTCTTCTCTCATGCCTAAACCTGCCCAGTTCTTTCAATCCTTCCTCCTAGGGCTTGGTTTCCAGTCCTCTGATCCTCCTTGCTGCCCTCCTCTGAACTTGCTCCAATTTGCTGGCACCATGGTGTCCATGGCACAGCCATAGCTACCAATTCTGTGCACAAGGCTGAGCCGAGAAAAGGAATTAGAAATTAAATTTTAGCCAGTAGATACAAGGGAGAAAAATGTGCTTTTTAAATGCAGTAATGGAATGCAGATTTTTTAAAAAACTTCCTTTTGTCTCAGTCTTAGATATACACATGCAAACAGCTTTATTCCATGTATGGCTGAATATCTAGCCTTCTAGATTTCCAACTACCTAGTTTTCAGGTGTGCCTCTGCTTCAGACATGATGCCCTCCCTCCTTAAATGTCTTTTCACAGACCATGAAACCATCGTAACCACCCTCGTGGTGTTGGGCGTGATCCTGTCCATTGCAGCTGTTGGACTTTTTGTCTTGTACAAACGGAATCGTTCGTTCTTCGACAAGTGGGTCAACGTCTTAGGGAGGCGCCACGAGCCGTACAGGTGAGCCGGGCCAGGTGGGGGAGATGGTTCCCTCATGAAGGATGAGCTGCTGCATCCCCTCTTTGCCAGGGTTTTTGCATCATTAGCTGTCACTTGGTACTTCAGATTTTAGCTCCCCCCTCTGGGGTGTGCTTGCCGGCACGCCCTTCCTGACACACTCATACGCGGGAAGAGATTTTGAAAGTAGGAAAGGAAAAGAGCCGGCGATCTGGCCAGCTCCCTGAAACCAAAGGTATATCTAAAGAAAAATAAAAAGGGGGCTGTGCCATAGCCCACCAAACTGGGCAGGGAAAGGGAACCGGAAGGCTGGAGGGCAAAGTAATCCCCCAGGAAAGGACCTGAGACTCGAACTCAGAACTCGTGTCCCAAGATTTACCAATATCTTTGCTTTTAATGGAGAACACGCCATCCCTCTCCCTCTGCTTTGTATCTTAAGTTTCTTCGGGGGAAAAATCGTGAAAGCGAAACTGGTAGAAAACCCGGGTGCCTTTTTTGGGTTGCACAGAGTCCAAGCAGACTCAGCGACACCATTTCGGGAAAGCCTCTCCCCTCCTTCCTGCGGCTTCGTGTCCAGATCTGGAAAAAAGGCCACCATGTTCCTCAGCATCGTTTGACACTCCCTGTTGGCTTGTTTCCCTCTCTGTGTTTCTCTGGCAGGCACAGGGCGGTCCCTCAGAAGATGACCCGCGGCCACAACAACTCAGCGTTCACCTTGCAGGGGGTCCCTTCTCCCTCGCCCCCCTCCTCCAGCAAAGCGGCGGGCAGAAGTCCCAACCAAGTAAGTCAGCTTATCAATTCTGGAGCGTAGCAAACCGAAAAACGTCACAACCGACATTTTCTGACACCGTCCTTCTCTTCTTCCATCCTACCAAAGATTCCCTGCCCATGGGCTTCAGACTGAAGGGAGAGCGTTATCGAGCCCACTCACCATTTTAATAGTGTTTGCTAAAATCTGTGTCTTTCTGCATCTGCCTGGGGTGGGGGTTTGGGGGCCCTGAACCAATACAGGGGAAGCCAAGTTCCAGAACTACATTTCACAGCTGCACTGTGAATTATGGTAATTGAGCATAAATCCCTGGCTTCTCTTGACGTGTTCTTAAATTATAACCTGCTCTGTTTGAGGATTGGGGGTGAGCATCTCCCCAAGACTCTTTGGAACGAGCAGACGAGATCACAGGATGCCGGATTCCATCACACGATGAGCTCGAGTTGCTGTCGTGGGTCTGGTTTTAACTGGGGAAACTGGTCCTTTAAAGCAGTGGTCCCCAAACCTGGGCCTCCAGATGTTCTTGGACTACAACTGCCAGAAGCCTTCACCACCACCTCTGCTGGCCAGGATTTATGGGAGTTGAAATCCAAGAATATCTGGAGGCCCAAGGTTGGGGACCACTGCTTTAAGGTGTTGATGGACCCATAATATTAAATGACTCTTTCAGGTTTCACAGGATGGGCATGTCCTCTAGTGTTCACAATTGCTGGGGTGAATATTCGTACCTTTGCAGCGCCCCCCTTTCCCTCTTGAGAGCCTCACCCCCAAAGGATGGAGGTGTGGACTCTTCTCCCTGTTCTCTTATCAGGGGACGAGGGGCGTTTCCCCACTGAGGACGAACTCTACCCGAAGCACGTCCCATCATCCGGTCAATGTCGTCCGCCCTCTCCGGCCAGCGCCCAGCCCGGCGGCAGCGGTGCAGAAGGACCTCAAGCCAGCCCGGCCTCCTCCGTTGCCGTTCATCAAATCCCCTGCCGTTCCTGCCCAAACAACGCTGAGCGTACAAAACAAGGAGCCTGCCCCGAGGAAGCCGCTCCCCCGCAGCCCTGTCAGGATCCCCTTGGTGAGTTTGGCCGTTTGCTCCTGGGCGATTCGGGGGCCCTCTCATTAGACCCAAGAAGAACAGCTGGGGGGGCCTGGGATCGGGATCAGCATGAACGCTGTGCAGGGGCCAAGATCCACCCAGGGAGGAAGGCAAGGCTCCATATGTGAATCTTCCGCTGGAATGGGGCTGTGAGGCAGCGGATCCTGGTTGCTGGGAGTCCAGAGCCTGGAAAAGTTACTTTTTCTGGCTGAAACTCTTCCACAACCTCCCCCAGCCCCCAAGTCTATGCTGGCTGTAGGATTCCGGGACTTAGGAGTACCCCAATGGGACATTTCCAAGGGCTGTGGTCGGATGGGTTTCTGTCATGCCTTCCGGCATCTCTTGGCTTCTACCACCTTCATCGCCCACTTCTGTGGTGGCGAGAATAGGGGAGGGAGGTGCGAGGCGGTGGAATTTTGCATGACACTTCGAAGGGCGGGCTCTTGCGCTGACGCTTCCCGACGGGACTTCTCTCCTTGCCAGGTTGATCCGAAGCCCAGGCCCCCTCGCAGACCGCTGCCAGGAACCCCGCTTCTGGCTAAAGAAGTGCCCTCCGCTCAGGGTCAGCCCTTGCTGGTCATGGTGCCTCCGACCGGTTCGAAGCCCGCCGGCGTCCTCAGCACCTCGAGCCCCTCTTCGAAGCCACTAAAGTAAGTTGGCAACTGAGCCGGCGGCCTCGGCTGCGCTGGTGGCTTCCGGAAGGAGGGGAAGGGGGCGAGAGGTGGGGTGGCCAAGCGGGTGTTGCATGCGCAGAATCAGAGAAGGAGACCTGCCGACAGGGGGGGTCATTATGGGAGCGGTCGTTCAGCTTCTGGTTATTTTTTTATTTTCTGAACAGCTTGATGTTGTGGCCCTGTATTGCCTACCAAAGCTTGGAAAAGTTCAGTTTTTTTTTTTTTTTTGGACTACAACCAACATAGCTGTTGGCTGGAGGATAATGGGAAGCATAATGAAAAAGAACTCCCATTTCTCATCTCCGTCTCTGACATGCTCCTGACTGAGTTTAGTGTTTCAGCATCACCGTTCAAGCGTTCTGGAAGGGAGTCCTTCCGTGACTTTTGATTCTGAGGGTTTTAAAATGTCACATGGCTTCATGAGGTGGTCTCATCCCACAGGGCTAGTTCTTCTACTCTTTATGAAGATGGGTTGCGGATGAAAAAGTTGCAGACATTAACTGGAAGTCTCTGTGTTGCCAGAGATTTGCACGGGGGTGACTATGGCTTATGGATAAATATGTCACCCTAGACTCTGAAACTGAAAACACGGTTGCTTATAAATAAGCAAAAAGTTATAGCAGGACCTCCATTTGTGCAGGGGGTTGGTTCTGAGCCCCACCCCTGTGATTCTGGAAAAATGCTGATTAGAGCAAATGCTATTTTAATAGCGGATGTATATATCAGTGGTCCCCAACCTTTTTGGGGCCACGGACCGGTTGGGGAGAAGTGAGCTCCATGCACGGGGGGGGTATAACACATCTCCCGCAGACACGACATGCCCCCCGTGCAAGTGTGCAGGGGGGAAGGAGATCCGTATCCGCAGTCCAGTTCCGGCAAGCCCATGGACCGCCAAGAAGTGAGCTCCATGCGTGGGGGGGATGACACATCTCCTGCAGATGCGACATGCCTCCCCACGCAAGTGTGCGGGGGGGAAGGAGATCCGTATCCGCGGTCCAGTTCCGGCAAGCCCATGGACCGCCACCGGGCCGTGGAGCGGGGGTTGACGATCCTTGCTATGTATAGCATGTTCTCTGGCTCCCTCCTGTGGTCAGTTCTGGTAATGACATTATGGAAAAATATTTATCGAGGGAATACTTTGTCTCCCTCTAGTGGCCAGTTCTGAGAAGGACCTCCATATCCGCAGGATCAGTATCCACTAATTCATTTAACCATAATCTGAAAATATTAAAAGGAGATTCCTAGAAATATACAGTATTTCTAAGTTAAATACTGTATATTTCTAGAAATTTCCTTTTAATATTTTCAGATTGTGGTTAAATGAATTAGTGGATACTGATCCTGCAGATATGGAGGTCCTTCTGTACTTTTTGTTAAAAAGAAAGAAAGGAAGGAAAAAAAAACAAAAATGTGAAAGCTGTTTGTGTTCCATCCGTTACAGTTTGTGCTGCAGACAAAACTCTTTATCTATAGGTTTCTCTGTAGATTTGTGGTGCTTCCTCCCAGAACCGAATCTGGCACCATTTCTCTTGGAACCAGATTTCTTACAGACTGGTCCAATCTGGGCTGATTTGGTTCATGATTTGGGATTTGCCTGGACTCCAGGTGCTGGACCCCCCTTCCATCTTGAAAGCCTCCCTCTGATCCAAGCCATAGATGCAAAGCTGTAGTTCGCTTGCGAACAAGTAAAGAAGGGGTGTGTGTGTTTCTACTACAGATTTGAATAGAGCAGCGACACAATCTTAAGTCTGTATTAATAACCTGCTCCTTTGTTTTTTCTGCCTTCCCCGCAGGCCGGCCCCACCTCAGAGGTGAGTGTGAACCTTGCTCCTATCCACACTCGCAGGAAACCGTCGGCGTCTGCTTTGCTTGCACTTTAGGGTAAAGGCAAGGGTGGGCCTTCCAAAATAGGGCAGAAGCGGTTTAGAAACGCTGGTTGTCTTTTGGGATGTCAAGGAGCCAAGAACAGGACTGTCCTCCCTTCCCTCCCTCCCTCCCTTTAGCTCAGACTCCAAGAAATTTTCCAAAATTCCCCAGGCAGACTTTGGAGTGTTCCAGCCCATGGACCCACCACTAGAGAGAGAGAGAGACACTTCTCTTTCACTCGCCTGGAGCAGGGCCTACCTTTTAGCCCCCAGGCCTGTCTCAGGCTTACTTCTTTTTGTTAATGTACAAAGAAAAGTAAGTTGCTCTGATGCTTTCCGGGAGTTGCAGTTCTTCAGGAGGTGCGCTCTATACAACCTAAAGGGCACCGAGATGACAATTCCCAGAAAGCACCACAGCCTCTTCCAATTCTTTGCATATTAATCAAGGGAAGTTGGCCTGGGACAGGCCTGGGGGCTAAAAGGCAGGCCCTGCTCCAGGCGAGTGAAATAGAAGTCTCTCTCTCTAGAGGTGGGTCTGTGGGCTGGAACTCCCAGAAGTCTGCCTGGTTAATTTGGGGAGAATTCTGGGATTTGGAGTTGAAACACACAAAAACCATGAGTGACGCATCCACGCAGGTTGGGCCAAATAGACCAAAGAGCTCACGTTCCTTTGCCAACTGGGAAGCCGCGCTTCCTTTCGGCCGAGGGCTGCCTGCCCTCCGTGGGGTGGAGCCAAAGCTAAAACACATTTTAAGAAATGGACTGGCAGGGGCCATCCTGTCCTGAAAGGCAGAAAATCGCTCACGTCTGTAAAGTAAGTTTGCACCCATAAATAGAGTCCAGGCATCTATTCATTACTTCACACCTGCAAAAATCCCTCTCCTGGCATGGCAGCTAATCTTGAAAGAAAGCCGAAGCGTGGGTCATTGCATGGCAGGTGGAAGGCATCTGGGGTGGGGTAAGGTGCGCGTCTCTGCTGGGAGGAAGGGAGAGCAAACCTTTCTGTCCTCAGCTGAGACGGCAACACGGGGGGGGGGTTCAGTTTGGGGGCTGCCGTTCCCAGAATTTCACAGCCAGCGTGGCCTCCAGTGTGGGGTTGAAGGGGGTGGAATGCAAACACCCCCAATGTGTTTCCCATCTTGGCCCCCCTTCCTCCAGGACCCCACCACCACCAATAGCAGTAGGACTTTGGAAGAACTCCTTCGGCTGTTGCAGAAAAAGCTAGCTTTTGGGTGATCTGTGCTTCTGCCCGCTTTTTGACTTTGATCGATCTCCTCCTCCTCCTTCTCCTCCAGACCCATCCCAGGCTTAAAAGTTCCGGCGGCCTTCTTCCCCTTGAAGAAATGACAGCGGTGGACGCTTGGCGGCTCTTTTCTTCTTCATTTGCACTACTGCGGTCGACGCAGAGACTTTTATTATTATTATTATTTGGCTACCAAAGACTATAATTTTTGAACGTTTAGTGGAACTTTTCCGGCAAAATAACGAAGAAGGGGGTGGGAGGGGCGGGGGGGCTCAGGGGAAAAACCGGTACTTTTGTGGAACAAAGGGCTGCAGGGGCTTAGGAATGGATCGGGCCCTCTGGGGAAGCGATGAGTAGACACCCTCCGTTGTGACCGGCTGGTGGATCGCTCCCTGTGGCTTTGCCCGTCGAGGCCTTACTTCTTCCTGCCGGTGGCAGGAGAGGGCGCGGGGGGGGGCATCATCCGCGGAAACCCCAGGAAGCAACGGACTATAGTTAGCTACCTCTGAGTTTTACACAACCTCATAGTAGAATGGTTCTCCCCTGAGCAGGTGCCCTGTGGGCTTCAGTGGCACATTTCCTGGATGCACCAGGGAGGGGGGGCAACGTTCACAACAGAAAGCACCCCGGGGGGGGGGGGAGAGTCACACCTGCCTTAAACCACCCATCAAGACCAACAACGCCTCTCCTGGTCCCCTTGATTTTGTCACGTGCTTTGCTGATGAAACTCCGACACAGGCTTGTTGGTGAGGAGCGGTGACTCGAATCTAGGCCATTTAGGGGATGATTCAGGCAGAATGGGTGGGGGGGGCGTTTGCCAGCCGGGGCCATCTTCTAGCGATGGAGGTGGAGAGCAACACGGGAGGGAAACAGACAAGGGGGGGGGGGGGGGGGTGATGTCTATATTAGACGACTTGAAAACCCAACCCAAAATTTTGTTGGCTTTTGACCCGTTTGAGGTCTGCTCCTGGCTGGAGACACCCCTGTGTGGTGCATAGCGCAGAGAAGAAAATAATCGTCTAGTAGTTCGAAAGCAATGCCGTCCCTCACTCTTGAAAAGTTCCGAAGCAGGAAAGGAGCGGCTCCTCTGGGCTCTACCCTTGATGGGAATGGAAGGCCAAACCTTGATCCCCGTGCCCTGCCAGGGGGGGTAAAAGCTGAGTCGCTGAAGGCGCTTCTCTTCACCTGCTGATACCTCCGTTCGCGTAAGAAGCGAGGAATGGCACATGCAGGTTCGAAGGTGGAAGGGCGACTGTTTCTAAGCCTCTTGGAACTCGGGGGTTGCACATCGAGGTCTGGCTTCAGGAGCGTGGCTTCGGGAGAGCCTCCGTGCAAGTGGGTAGATGAGTCGGTGTGTGTCCTTTCGCTTGTGCCACACCTCGAAAGCAATGCCGTCCCTCACTCTTGAACTCGGCACTCCTAAGACATCGTGGGGGGAGGCATCTGAGCCCTGATGCTGTTTTGAGACCGTTGTGGGTGACGGTCGGGTACAGGATCTGTCCTCATGCTGCCTCGGGGAGCCTTTCCGGTGGGATATTGGTCTACAGTGAGTGAAAGAGAATTGAAAAAAAATGCACGGAGGGGGATGTATATTCCCGAGGTTGAATCCAGTGTTCCTCCCCAAGGGGATTTCTTCCGAAATATGTGCCTTGATGTACTGCACAAAGATGCCAATTAAGCCTGTGTTTCCCTTTCCAACGCACAACCGCAAATGAGACCACATGATATGCAAGATGCTCAGGTGAGGAACACCATGCGCTGTGACAAGCATATGCCTTTTGCCACTATAGGGACCACCTCTTCTAGAAACGTGGTAAACGTATCCTCTAGTTTGACCCTTATGCTCCAGCCGCAGTGGCCCCGAATGGAGGCAGTCTTCATGTATTTCTTGGGCTGCCGGCACCACCACCAGAGGTTCTGAGTGCGGGTCTGTGCGCCTTTGGAGCAGAGATGAGCCCCAGCTTCCCTTTGAAAGGCAACGATTACAGTCTTGGCAAAAGCTGCTCCTCCAAGGATGGGCATCATTATTTTGTGAAACAGCCTTTCCGGCCCCCAACTTTGGGATGGCACGGGTGAACTGCCGAAAGAATACAGTTGGACCCCCTTATCTATGGGGTCAGTAGCTGCTGATTCACTTTCTGCTGGCTGAAAAATACTAAATGCCCCTGCCCGCAAGAAATACCTATTTATACATCTTTTCATTACTAGAAGTGGGCACTAAAGGGAGTTAGAGGCCATGCAATGTATAGCGTTCCATACTGTGGCATTTTCAGTATCTGCAGGGAGGCGGGGGAGGTTTGGAACCGCATCCCTGCAGATACTGCAGCCCAAATATACTTCGTTTGGGATCTTGCTGTTGGGCTACTAATTGCGTTGCAAGCTTGCCTTTTGCCCTCGCTAAACCACAAGAAGCCCTTACATGGGGCCATTCTTTGGGGGTGTGTGTGTTGGGGCTTCTTCCCACTGCACAGGAGAAGGAACGTCCAGAAATGTCAGTCACCCAAGAGGTGGTGTTTGCTTGTTTTGAAATCAGCAACGTTCCTGTCATTTGCTCTGGCCTGGGTTAGCATTTGTGGTTGCTCGGGAGTGTCGATGTCACGGTGCACCTTCTGAGCAAGATACCCTGGCTTCTAATATTTGCATCCTAGCTTCATCCCGATGGATCTTGGGGTGGATTGTGAACTTCCCGGAGAGACTGAGCCTCAGGCCAAGCTTGAAGGGACAAGAGGATGAGATGGCATCTTGCAAGGTCTGGCTCAGTGGTTGCCGACCTGGGAGTCTCCAGATGTTCTTGGACAGCAACTCCCAAAAGCCTTTGCCACCAGCTGTGCTGGCCAGGCATTCTGGGAGTTGTAGTCCAAGAACATCTGGGGGCCCCGAGCATGGCAACCACTGAGCTTGGCTGATCATCGTGGCGATCAAACCTCAGTGTCTTGCATTATTTGGTGATGCCTCCTTGGTGGTGCTTCTTGGATTGGCTGTATGGCCTTCGTGCCTTTTCTCCCCTTCCCTCAGATCATGCTGTGAAATCCCTCTTTTCTTGTTTTTTTTCGTGTTGGGTTTGGGGTTTGGATTTGAATGACGGAGACTTGCGCAAAGACCCCCAGTGGACATCAATGTTGATACCAACATTGACGTGGCCTTCAGAAAGTTCTCTGCTTGGGGGCCACATATAGAGAAACTCCAAACCCCTCAAAATTCTGCCACAAATTTTTTGCTTAGCCTTGCTGCTGGTGGCCTGTAGCCCCGAATGGCTCCTTCTTCATTCGGGGAAGCAAGCGGGCCCTCGCCTTCAATCTGTCCACCCAAGATGGCGGCCGGTCCACCTTCTCCTTGTCGACTGAGCTCAGGCGGGTTGGAAACTGTGACTTCTTTGCCAAAAACCTTTCTGCCCAACCTCTGTGCCTTTAAAAATGATGGTTTTGTATGTCCCCCCCCCCCATTCCTCTTCTGAAGGATAACAAAGGAATAAAGTTGTTTTTTCTTATTTAAACACCGACGGACGTGTGTCTTCTTAAACGGTGAGTACTGCTTTTAATTTAAGCCTCACGGCATAACCATCAAATTTCATCTCTATATATTGGAAAACGTATTTGCTATAATTAATTTGAAGAGCAAAACGATTGTTTTAGAGCAGAAAACATTAAGAACTGTTATTCCAATTATCGACACAGAAACACGTTAACCACATACACAGTTATTGGACACCGGACTTTAAAACTCTACAATGGCCACACTGTGCTAAAGACAGCAATGCATGTGTCTTCCTGATTTGATCTGATGCCTTTTACAGATCTAATCGTGAAAATCAATTTGATACCTCTTGCCTAGAACATCTTAATCATAGAACGGCAGAGCCGGCAGGGACCCTACATCCAGTCCAGCTCCTGTCAAGGAGGCACAGAAGGGACCCTACATCCAGTCCAGCTCCTGTTAAGGAGGCACCGTGAGGAATCGAACTCACAACCCAGATACTTAAGCCGCTAAGCTAGACAGCAGCTCTCTTAATCGAACTTGCAACCCAGATACCTAAGCCGCTAAGCTAGACAGCAGCTCTCTTTTAAAGGGTCTCCAGTGTGCCGGGTCTCACACCCTTATTGCACAGGAATGGTTATTCTTGGGCTTTTTTTTTTTTTAAACCCCTTTGAGGTCACATCCCCTGAAGAATAGTCATTCTTGGACTATGTGCCTGGACTGGGCCAAGCTAGAGGAAAAGTTGCACGAGGGACACCCCCCGCTTTCATCTCCCGGTGGCCCCCCTCTCCATTCCTTCGGCCTCGCAGGCTGCTGGGAGAGGGAATGTTTGCTCCTGCAAGGGGTCCTGCCCGGCCTGCCGAACTGGGTGGCGCAAGCGAACTGCTCAGGTGGAGCTTTGTGGCGGGTTGCTGCAGTGCTCAAGAGGACTAGAAACCTGAGTTCTGCACAGGACAGAGGCACAGGATTTGGAAGACAACAGAGAGGCGATGGGGCCGCCATCCTCTGCTCTGGGAAGGTTCATCACAGAGAAGGTGGAGGCGGCTTGTTTCTCTGCCGCTCCAGAGGGTTAGGAGGCAACCCAGCAGATCCAAATTGCAAGAAAAGAGAAGCTGACTAAACATAAGCCAGAACCGTTGCAGAGCTTTGATTATGTTCCTCTCGCTGTGCAGCAGAAGTGCAGAGATCCACAGAGCAGAAGAGCTTCCAGTTCCCACAATAGTCCACCCTCCTTTTTTTACTCATCCATGGACACTTGCAGTCTTAATAACTCGCTCTGAAACATTGGTAAGACGAAGGGATAAAACATTTCACGTACTTATGGTGAACGGATCGAACGGCAAACTGACCAACGCAACTGCTTTCAGCAAAAGGCCTCCACAGACTCACTGCTTCCAGCAGACTCTTGAGGAGAAGGGGGGGGGGGAAGACTCTGAGCAGAGAGGAAGGCCTTTCTTTGATTTCAAAGGGAGGGAGGGAATGATTGGTTAGTGATGGATTGATTGACAGCCACCCCAGCCCAGGAAGGTCAGCCCCAGTCAAACTTGCTAAAGGCAGCCTGCAAGTTTGCAAGCCAACCCAAAAGTAAAGTCTGCCAGAACTTGGTTTATGGTGCAGCTGGCCACACACTGCTTGTGTCTCTGCACACGGCATCTGAGGAATGGCTTCCTGGATAAGTGGGAGGCAGTTTCTCCACATTTTGAGGGGCCCTGAACAAGCCCGTGACCTCCCACGCCCCCCCCCAAATTAATATTTTTTACATTGTAAAACACTGCTGCCCAGCATGGACTAATAGTCATGGATGATGAGATCTGTAGTAGGGCACAGATTTCCTCCTGCCCCCTTTGGATGCCCCACCTGTGAATGAATTCAAGCCTGTGGCTTCCTTTAGGGAGCCAGTCCATCTTGCATTTGGCCTTCCTCTTTTCCTGTCAGCCCCTGCATTAAACAGCCCCTGAGATGCTTTTCTTTTTTCGGCCAGTCTTTCCAAGTTACTCTTCCCAGGTTTTTCCTCTGCAGATGCACTGGTGGTCCTGAAAGGAATAAAGGAGAAGGTGCCGTCACAGAATCGTCAATCCTCCGAAACCAAGAAGGAAGGGAGGACAGGGAGAAGAAAGGACCCAAGTTACTCTTCCCAGGTTTTTCCTCTCCAGATGCACTGATGGTCCTGAAAGGAATAAAGGAGGAGGTGCCGTCACAGAATCGTCAACCCTCCGAAACCAAGGGGGCTGCTTGAGATGACCTGCACCTTCTTGAGATGCACCTAAGGAAATATCTTTTGTGTTCCTCAAGCTCCCTGGTTCCTGCTCTGTCTTCCTCGCTCTCCAGTTTTTCTTAAAAATCCCGAGACCAATAAATTAAAAAAAATGCCGTACTACTGGTCGTGCCCCAGCTGTGATGGGGGTAAGAGTCAGTGGTGGTCATCTTGACCCAAAGCTCCAGTTGATAACCAAGGTGAAGGAAGGAAGGAAGGAAGGAAGGAAGGAAGGAAGGAAGGAAGGAAGGAAGGAAGGAGGGAAGGAAGGATGGAAGGAAGGAAGGAAGGAAGGAGAGAGAA